GGATAAGAGCAACACTATGCAATCAATAATTTCCATATCAGAAGTAAGAATCTGATGCAGTGGAGGCACTAAAGAACAAGTATTTAATGCTATAAGGGGTGGAGCCAAGGAAGGTTTCACAGAGAAGGTTAGGCTAGAGTTGGGTCTTGGAGGATGCATAGGAGTTTGCCTAATGGTTCAAGTAAGGTAGGAGAATTCCAGGGTAGAAGGACCAGCATGGAAAATGACACAGACGCACAAAAAACCAAGAAGGTCCAGTGTACTATAAGGAGTCCTCTCTCAAGTAGGTACTTCTGATAAAACAAGTGGACAGAGATAAGATAAGAACAAAGAGTGGTGACTGTAAAGCATGATGGAAGCTAGACCATGAAGGACTTCAGGTACCATGTTAGGTGTCTGGATTTTATCCCCTGAGCTACAGAATGGCACTGAAGAAATTTGGGAATAACATTGTATCTGAAGTTATCTAATGATGACAACAACCTGATTGCTCTTCAGTGACTGAATGGTAAAAAAAATTGTGAAACATACATACCATGAGCTACTACTCAGCAAGAAGGAGGAATGAACTATTGATACACACAATTTGGATAAGTCTCAAGAGAGTTATGCAGAATGGAAAAAAGCCAATTCCCAAAATATGATAAACTGTATGATCCCATTTGTATAATGTTCTTGAAACAAATTATAGAGATGGATCAGAGACTAGTTGCTGAGGATTAGGGACTGGGGAGGAGTACGTGGATGTGGCTATAAAGAGGTAGTATCAGGGAGCCTTGTGGTGATGAAGCAATTCTAATGTTTCATTGTGGTGGTAGTCACACAAACTTCTATATGTGGTAAAATTACATAACCATAGAAACATACACACACATGAATACATGTATAACTGGTAAAATCTGAATAAATTCTGTGGATTGTACCAATGTCAGTCTACTAGATTTGATGTTGCGCTATAGTTATACAAGATATTCCCAGTGGAGAAAACATGATTGAGGGTACGCCAAAATTCCTTGTACATTTTGTGTGTGTGTGTGTATTCCTGTGATCTATAATTATTTGAATAAAAAAATTTAATGATGACAAAAGTGGTAAGTGGATTTACTCCAAAAAAAAAAAAGAGAAGTTTTCTAGTGGAGTTAAAGATTATTGCTCAGTTTCCTTTTTGTAAATAATTCTCTTAAGAATTTCAAAGCATGTTTTATGCAACTATATAAGACAAGGTTATATTGATATAATATAAATATAACAGATAAAATTTTTCTTCATGAAATTGGGTTCATTGATATTCAACTTGTTCTGGAACTAAAGTAACAATTTTAGAATAGGGGAGTAGCTCAGTACAAATGTGCTCAATTCTGAATATCAAAAGCTCTGAGATCATGTCCAACACTAGTAGCTAGATCATTCTAAAAAGTTATTTTAAAAAAACACCCATCAAACAAGCAAAAACAACCAAACAAATCTGGCTTAACCTGTGTTCTGAGTGATTTGGCTTTCTTAGGATAAAAAGTTCACATATGTACTTACATTTATGTGGTATCTATCATGTATATATATATCATGTATACATCTATCATATATGGTCGGAGAGTATACAACAAACTCTAACACGGTATGATGAACTCTAATATTAAAAATATATGCAAAACTAAAATAAAGGACCTCTCATGTATTAACAAGGCACAAGTATAAGAAACATAATAGTCCTGTGTTATTTACACACAAGATAGTCCCCAAGATAAATGGTAGGTGGAATCTTGTTCTCTTGCTCTGACAGTGACATTTGAATAGCAGATTGTTCTAGGGGATTTCTTTTTCTCATCATCAGCCTTGAAACAATAGTTAATTTTATGCAAGATTCTTGCACAATGCTGATGTGACGGTAATAGTGGCTTTGAGTATTTTATTCTTGCAGAATTCAGATACTCCATACAAGTGTATATTAATTTTTTCTAAAATCCCAAGTTCATGAGCTCCTGATTAATGGATGGTAATTACAGGCTATGATATGAGAGCTGTGCTTTAAAAATCATAAGGTATTAAATGAGTAGAAGGCACTCTACTCATTTATCAGGGTTATAAGTAGGTCCTCAATGGCCAGGTAGCACCCTACAGCAAGGATGGAACCTGAACAAAGTCCTTGGGATGGCAAATAGGTGGCAAATATGGGCACAATGACTCATGACCCAAGATGCAACCATAATGCTGGAACTGAAACAGAGATGGTAACCTCAAAATGGACAAACAGGTTGGCTGAGCTATGACTATGACCCCCCAAAATATGACTTTCATAAGAATATCTCATAGTAGATAATTATTATGTATTTGTGTGTTTTCTTATTCATGGTCTGTTTTCCCAAGAATGCAAGCCCCAAACATTGTCTGGTTTCTGCACCTTTTTGTACCCAGTTTTAATAGGGTTCCTGATACAAAACAGGTGTTCAGTAAATATTTATTGACTAAATGAATACCTCTTCACTCCACAACACGGTTTTTTGACCATTATTCAGTGGTAGACACTTTTAAAATTCTGACCAAAGCTATGAACCCTCTCCTCAAAAATACACACAGAAAGACTATATTTTTTATTTTCTATAGGATTCATGGATCCCAGATTAAGTTATGCATATGGAAATCATTTTCAAGGATGAGAATATTATTGTAAACACAATTAGCCACTGATTTTAGTTCCTTCAGGCATTCTCCTGATTATTTACCCAAGCCAATTACCTCCCCAACATGATGGCATTATTTTTTATGTTTTGCTATTTGTTATCATTAATAAATAGTCCCTACATGCACATTATATTTTAGTGACATCAATGTCAAAGAAAAAGATAACTCAGCTCATAAAAATATTTCTGCCATTTTTATAAAGTGTATTAGTTAGTCTCTCTCCCTCCCACTTCTGTCTTTCTCTCTTTCTTTCTCCAACCCTAAGAAAGTCTTAGTGTACATTTGGTATAACCTCCTAATCTCTTTCCTAAAGGTCACTCTAAGTAGAATTTGAAATTGAAAGAGAAAGGGGTTAAGTCACACTTACACAAACACACAAAGCCACCGGCCTGTCATCAATGGAACAATTCAGAATAAGAGGGGGAGTGGAAACAAGGCACCTTGTCCAGTCACCATAAACAACAAATAATTCAAGTTATCCTGAAGACTGCAGATGGCTAGCTTTTTGTCAGAAAAGAGCTGTCTTTAGTTGTCAGTAATGAAAGATGCCCAAGTGAATCTTACACACTGAGCTTTTGGTAAAGAGAGATAATTACCATCTAATCTGAGCTGAGCTGTATTACCAGAAAAAACTTAATGGAAATCTCCTGCCTTTATAAGACCAAACTCTTCCAATACACTGATCCACAAGCAAGTATGAAACTCTGCCACAAGAAATTAAGCGTGTTACTTTTTATTCCTTCTGGTTTACAAAAAGAAAGCTCAAGGTCTGCTGGAGGCCACAGTTCAAACCACCTCTGTGATCTGCCTTAACCCTGAGTGTCTCATTCCCAGGGGCCCTGCCCGGGAAGGCAGCAGCTCCTCTCCATCTCCATCTGGCCAGCTGAACTGCATGCAGAGCAACGCCATGGCCACGGGGCAGGGGCTGGGTGTGTGCCACAGAAGCAGCAATAGAAAATGCCAATGCATTCGAGATTGCAGTCCTAGTTACCAACCTGTCATGGGGTCCCATTCTCCACCATGGAAATATCAAGAAAAGCAGAGGTTCTCACACTGATAACACTTCAAGGAATTGCCTGGAGTCAGCTGCTTGCATCGTACTGCAGTTGGGGCAAAGAGCTTTAGCTATAATTTTTAGTGGGTCCATCCACCCCATTCATGGCTTTCTTTCTTAATGGCTCAAAAATATACCAAAACAATAGTGCTTGGTGTTTTTCAATTAGATTTCCTGTTAAAGTTTCCTCTTAACTCTGCAAAGAAACTTTTTCAAGGACAACTTTTATAGAAATTGGTTTGAATGCTTATCAGAAACCTCACATGGGAAACATAGTCTTAGGTGTGCCTTATTTTAATTGCATTAAGTTCCTTATATCCTAAAACCTGGTTCCTAACAAAGATGAGGAATAGTTAAATATAAATAATGGACAAAGTCATATCTGCAAACCAGAGTCACCAAAGCCTTTGGGAGATGCACCATAAGCTCTTCTCTACATACGCAAAGACCTTTAGAGACTAGAAGCACAGTAGTTTTAAAGAAATAAAGTCAGGGAGACTCAGCACAAAGCAGATACAATAAGGAGGCAGGAGTCACAGAATTGAATAATGGAATTTTCTACTTATCGAATTTCAGTCATTCCCTATTAAAGAGAATATCAACCATTACCAGGAAGATTTCCAACTCTAGAAAGCAACATAGAGGAAGAGGGAGCTTAAAAATGTATGAAGAAACCAGCGGTATTACAACAATTGACTTTTTCTCCATATTTCACAACAAGGTCTGCATTGTATTTCAAGCAGTAATTTAGGTTTAAGTATGTCAGTGTTCAAACTAACTTACCATTATAGGTGTTTCTTCCCTGCAACAAAACTTCCTTAAAAGCTTTCATACCATTTGTTACCTTGGGCTTTCAAAAGATAAATTATACAGTACTAGATAGAAACTATTTTTAATAGTATAATCACAGAAACTACAGTCTATACCATAAAATAGGACAAGCACATTTGCTCTTGAAAAGCTGCCCTGATCTCAATACCAGTTTCCAGCAGCTGTGTTATTCTCTGCAGACTGGAAGTCATATGGCTCCTAAGGTATTCATAACACTTTAAAATATACAAAATGGGCCACAGTTTTTAAATCCTATACATACACAACACAACACAACCACCTTGGGTTTTCCTAAGGAGCTATTTTAAAGACACCTGAGAATTCTAAATTAAGCAGCCCACCAATGAGTAAGTCACTTTTCAAAACCACTGAACTGTCTCCACTGTACCTGTATAGAACACGGAAACCCAGGAGAGAGAGAATCTTACATCCATACCTATATTTCATGCCAGTCTGCTTTGCGGTGGACTCTTTGAGAGAGATGTGATGCTGAGGGGTGAAGGTCCCCAGGCTGCGTGCGATGATAGCGACCGTGCGGAATTTGGCCCGGGCTGCGTTCACCACATTGGGGGCGGTGGAGCTCTGCTTGCTCAGAAGTCGCTCCTCGCCATTCCGACTCTTCAAATTATGCTCTGTGCAGGCTATGGAGACTTGCATTGCTTCCCCGGGCAGTGCACGGTCCCTCTCAGAACCCCGGAACACAGGCAGTCAAGAGAGGTCGAGCAGTTGGGAGGGTCTGCTTGTCTTTTAACCCCTCCTTGCTCCCCCTTCCTCGGGGCCGGGGAGTCCTTGCAGCTGACTTCAGAGCCAGGGAAAGTGGCAGCAGTGACTGCGGTGCAGGACAGAGTCCCAGGCACCGAGAGAAGTAAACAGCTAGCCCTGAAGTTGTCACAGCAGCTGGAGCGCGGATCAGACTGGCAAATCTTCCCGGGCAGTAATCTCGGTTGATTAAACAGCCAAATCCATGTAGTCGGGAGGCTTGGGCAGACGCCTGGAGCTAAGCATTTGTGCTGAACGCAGCCCTGCCAGAAGCCTGTCCGCGGTGCCTGAATGCGGGCTCGCCTCTGGGCGATGGCTCAAATCCACGCAGGCATACCGCAAGATGCGCCGCCAGCACCCTCTGGACCACAGGCAGGATGCTCTACTGGCGCGCTGAGCATCCCAAGAAGCAGCTAATCGCAAGCCGCTCCCTGGGGACCGGTAGTCTCCAGCCACTCCGGCTGTCAGCTCCCTCCCTGCCCCACTCCGGGAGGTCGTGGGGGCTCCTCAAGACCCCTCCCCACTCATTTTCAGGCGGAAGCCTGGGTCATTGTGTCCGCACCAACACGGGTTAGCAGCTGCACGCAGGAGCAGGAAGGTCCCTTTAAAGAGCTCCTCGCCTTTGTGTGCGACGCGAAGGCAAGAATCACTTCCAGCAGACTCTTGCTGTGATAGAATCTGGAGAGCTGCTCTTAAAGGGGGGCTCTGCCCAGGCTCAGACCAAATCCCGCGGCGGCACAACAGTTGGAACCGGGGGAAGGCAGGACGGGGGGTGCTCCTGCCACGGAACATGCCAGTGAATGAACACGTGAATACTCTGTGACTGGTTTGTTAAATCACAGCTTGAAATCCCTGTTATTAGCCTTACCAGCGTTTATTTCCCCTTTGCACATTACTTCTTAAGCCAATAACTTTGAAGTTTACTGAAAAGACACAGTGCAGACTTTTCAGAGTCAAGTCACCTAACTCACTGCCAAATCTCTTCTGGCTCCCAAAGGAGGGTGAAGGATGGGCGAGGAGGCAACAATTTGGCACCACCCAGAAGGGGTCTGCACTAGGTAAGCTGCAGGTCCAAGTCACCATCCAGGAAGGTCCAGGCCAGGTGGCTGGAACTGTGTACACTGCCCGCTGGTCATCTATGACCCATTGGTGAGGACAAGCATTATCCCCAGGGCAAGGGTAGGCAGCAAGACACCTCCTGTCATCTCAGAATGTTCCTGTGAGGCAGGAACACTGCCTGGTTCAGTAGTAGGTGCAAAGCAACTCCTCAGTAAATGTGGTTGAACCAAACTAAGCACCAACTGGCTGATAACAATTTCTCTCTCCATTTGAAATGCACAGAAGTCAGACAGTTTTTTTAATAGATGTACTTACAATAAAATTGTGCCTTCTGCACAATCAGTTCTCTAAACTGGTTTCCAACAGAAACTGCTGTCAAGCAAAAAGGAACTGTGTTTAAATCAACAATATTTATGAGCACCATCTCTGTACTAAGCATTAGAGAGAAATATGGAGAAAAAAATATAGCACTATCCTTCTCCTCAAGGAACTGGCAGCCTGGATGGGAAGGATAAAACAATCAGTCTTAAAGAGGCTAATGAACAATGTCAGAGGTACATTAGTGTTTAAATGAGTGGTACCGACACCAAGTACACTAGAGTTAATAAGCAGGGGAGTGATTACAGGAGGCTAGAGAAAGTTCCTCATTTCCCTACACTTCTACTGAATGCCTGTTAGGTACCTGACTGCTTGTTGCTGGGATACAAAATAGCTTACATGGAGGCTGGACCTCAAAGAGCTCATGGATGCCCAGGCAGCCCTCATAGACTGCGGGACTTTGCCTGGGACATGAATTTGATTAGCTGGAGAGCAGAAGGTCAGTCTTCCCAGAGATTGGCTGGGGTGAGGAGAACACACACTGTGGCTGTGTCAATGTGATAAATATAAATATATATATATATATATATATATATATATAGAGAGAGAGAGAGAGAGAGAGAGAGAGAGAGCGAGAGAGACAGAGACAGAGACAGAGACAGAGAGAGACAGAGAGACAGAGGGAGAGAGATGGCAGTTCTGACCACTTATTCCCAAATTAAGTTGTAGGAATGACATTTTCAAGTAGAATAGGTACCTGTTTTGAACTCCATTCCAGACATGAATCATAACACCTTTTTTTTTAACATCTTTATTGGAGTATAATTGCTTTACAATGGTGTGTTAGTTTCTGCTTTATAAAAAAGTGAATCAGTTATACATATACATATGTTCCCATATCTCTTCCCTCTTGCGTCACCCTCCCACCCACCCTCCCTATCCCACCCCTCTAGGCGGTCAAAAACCACTGAGCTGATCTACCTGTGCTATGCAGCTGTTTCCCACTAACTATCTATTTTACATTTGGTAGTGTATATATGTCCATGTCACTCTCTCACTTTGTCACAGCTACCCTTCCCCCTCCCCATATCCTCAACTCCATTCTCTAGTAGGTCTGTGTCTTTATTCCCCTCTCACCCCTAGGTTCTTCATGACATTTTTTTTTCCTTAGATTCCATATATATGTGTTAGCATACAGTATTTGTTTTTCTCTTTCTGACTTACTTCACTCTGTATGACAGACTCTAGGTCCATCGACCTCACTACAAATAGCTCAATTTCGTTTCTTTTTGTGGCTGAGTAATATTCCATTGTATACATGTGCCACATCTTCTTTATCCATTCATCCGATGATGGGACACTTAGGTTGCTGCCATCTCCTGGCTATTGTAAACAGAGCTGCAATGAACATTTTGGTATATGACTCTTTTTGAATTATGGTTTTCTCAGGGTATATGCCCAGTAGTGGGATTGCTGGGTCATAGGGTAGTTCTATTTGTAGTTTTTTAAGGAATCTCGAAACTGTTCTCCATAGTGGCTGTATCAATTCACATTTGCACCAGCAGTGCAAGAGTGTTCCCTTTTCTCCACACCCTCTCCAGCATTTACTGTTTCTAGATTTTTTGATGATGGCCATTCTGACCAGTGTGAGATGATATCTCATTGTAGTTTTGATTTGCATTTCTCTAATGATTAATGATGTTGAGCATTCTTTCATGTGTTTGTTGGCAATCTGTATATCTTCTTTGGAGAAATGTCTGTTTAGGTCTTCTGCCCATTTTTGGATTGGGTTGTTTTTTTGTTATTGAACTGCATGAGCTGCTTGTAAATTTTGGAGATTAATCCTTTGTCAGTTGCTTCATTTGCAAATATTTTCTCCCATTCTGAAGGCTGTCTTTTGGCCTTGTTTATGGTTTCCTTTGCTGTGCAAAAGCTTTTAAGTTTCATTAGGTCTCATTTGTTTATTTTTGTTTTTATTTCCATTTCTCTAGGAGGTGGGTCAAAAAGGATCTTGCTGTGATTTATGTCATAGAGTGCTCTGCCTATGTTTTCCTCTGAGAGTTTGATAGTTTCTGGCCTCACATATAGATCTTTAATCCATTTTGAGCTTATTTTTGTGTATGGTGTTAGGGAGTGTTCTAATCTCATACTTTAACATGTACCTGTCCAGTTTTCCCAGCACCACTTATTGAAGAGGCTGTCTCTTCTCCACTGTATATTCTTGCCTCCTTTATCAAAGATAAGGTGACCATATGTGTGTGGGCTTATCTCTGGGCTTTCTATCCTGTTTCATTGATCTTTCTGTTTTTGTGCCAGTACCATACTGTCTTGATTACTGTAGCTTTGTAGTATAGTCTGAAGTCAGGGAGCCTGATTCCTCGAGCTCCATTTTTTGTTCTCAAGATTGCTTTTGCTATTCGGGGTCTTTTGTGTTTCCATACAAATTGTGAAATTTTTTATTCTAGTTCTGTGAAAAATGACAGTGGTAGTTTGATAGGGATTGCATTGAATCTGTAGATTGCTTTGGATAGTAGAGTCATTTTCACAATGTTGATTCTTCCAATCCAAGAACATGGTATATCTCTCCATCTATTTGTATCATCTTTAATTTTTTTCAGCAGTGTCTTATAATTTTCTGCATACAGGTCTTTTGTCTCCTTAGGCAGGTTTATTCCTAGATATTTTATTCTTTTTGTTGCAATGGTAAATGGGAGTGTTTTCTTGATTTCACTTTCAGATTTTTCATCATTAGTGTCTAGGAATGCCAGAGATTTATGCACATTAATTTTGTATCCTGCTACTTTACCAAATTCATTGACTAGCTCTAGTAGTTTTCTGGTAGCATCTTTGGGATTCTCTATGTATAGTATCCTGTCATCTGCAAACAGTGACAGCTTTACTTCTTCTTTTCCTATTTGGATTCCTTTTATTTCTTTTTCTTCTCTGATTGCTGTGGCTAAAACTTCCAAAAGTATGTTGAATAAGAGTGGTGAGAGTGGGCAACCTTGTCTTGCTCCTGATCTTAGCGGAAATGGTTTCAGTTTCTCACCACTGAGGACGATGTTGGCTGTGGGTTTGTCATATATGGCCTTTATTATGTTGAGGAAAGTTCCCTCTATGCCTACTTTCTGCAGAGTTTTTATCGTAAATGGGTGTTGAATTTTGTCAAAAGCTTTCTCTGCATCTATTGAGATGATCATATGGTTTTTCTCCTTCAATCTGTTGATAAGGTGTATCACATTGATTGATTTGCATATATTGAAGAATCCTTGCATTCCTGTAATAAACCCCACTTGATCATGGTGTATGATCCTTTTAATGTGCCATTGGATTCTGGTTGCTAGTATTTTGTTGAGGATTTTTGAATCTATGTTCATCAGTGATATTTGCCTGTAGTTTTCTTTCTTTGTGATATCTTTGTCTGGTGTTGGTATCAGGTTGATGGTGGCCTCGTAGAATGAGTTTGGGAGTGTTCCTCCCTGTGCTATATTTTGGAAGAGTTTGAGAAGGATAGGTGTTAGCTCTTCTCCAAATGTTTGATAGAATTCACCTGTAAAGCCATCTGGTCCTGGGCTTTTGTTTGTTGGAAGATTTTTAATCACAGTCTCAATTTCAGTGCTTGTGATTGGTCTGTTCATATTTTCTATTTCTTCCTGGTTCAATCTTGGCAGGTTGTACATTTCTAAGCATTTGTCCATTTCTTCCAGGTTGTCCATTTTATTGGCATAGAGTTGCTTGTAGTAATCTCTCAGATCCTTTGTATTTCCGCAGTGTCAGTTGTTACTTCTCCTTTTTCATTTCTAATTCTACTGATTTGAGTCTTCTCCCTTTTTTTCTTGATGAGTCTGGCTAATGGTTTATCAATTTTGTTTATCTTCTCAAAGAACCAGCTTTTAGTTTTATTGATCTTTGCTATCGTGTCCTTCATTTCTATTTCATTTATTTCTGATCTGATCTTTACGATTTCTTTCCTTCTGCTAACTTTGGGTTTTTTTTGTTCTTCTTTCTTTAATTGCTTTAGGTGCAAGGTTAGGTTGTTTATTCGAGACGTTTCCTGTTTCTTAAGGTAGGATTATATTGCTGTAAACTTCCCTGTTAGAACTGCTTTTGCTGCATCCCATAGGTTTTGGGTTGTCGTGTCTCCATTGTCATTTGTTTCTAGGTATTTTTTGATTTCCTCTTTGATTTCTTCAGTGATCACTTCGTTATTAAGTAGTGTATTGTTTAGCCTCCATGTGTTTGTATTTTTTACAGATCTTTTCCCGCAATTGATATCTAGTCTCATAGCATTGTGGTCAGAAAAGATACTTGATACAATTTCAATTTTCTTAAATTTACCAAGCCTTGATTTGTGACCCAAGATATGATCTATCCTGGAGAATG